TATTGCTATTTGCCAAACAAAATAAGTCCAAAATTTCTCCATAAGCTGGAGTGGACTGTTGCCAGGCAACACTAAGTTTTCGAAAGTTTTGTTGATTTGTTTTCTTGAAAACTATTGTTGCTTCTGGAGTTTTCAAGATAAGAGCACAAACAACATCACCTTTATCTCATCTCTGCTTCTGTCAAGAAACCAGAAATCAGCATAAAGAGAGAGCAACAGAGAGAGAGAGAGAGAAAGGTGGACACATAGGACAATGAGAGGAGATCAATGGAGTGACAAGGCTGAAGGTGCAGTCAATACACACACACACACACACACACACACACAGATGTGACATTGCAGTGAATAGGTCAGAGTCCCTGAACTGTTTCTGAACAGATGGTCTGTGTGCGTCCACTTGTGTGCCAGTGTTTAGGTGTGTGCGTGTTTGACCTTGACCCATGAGCTGATATAGCTGCCAAACTTCTGACTGAGAGACAGGAGACCGCCATAGGACATTTCCAACACACACACACACATGCGTGCGTATTAACACCCTGTGCAACCTTAACAATAGACTTACTGCAGGTTTACACAGTATTATACAGTATAGAAACATGGATTCAGCCACAAAGTGGCACTGTTTGCCCATTCTTCTTCACAATCTACTTGTGAGAGGAGAGAGAGTGTGTGTATGTGTCTTCATGAGTTCTGCAGTGCTGGTTACCGGGCCTCTCCTTAGTTTTAACTCAGATCAATGGTTATTACTGTGCCCTTGTCCAAGTCTTTCTCGTCTCTCCCTTTCCCATACTAGCACACAGATGCAGAAAAACAGCCAAAACACACACACAGAAACACTAACATGCAAACACACATAGAATCATAAAAGTGCAAGTGTACACAGGCAAGCATCTGCAGCCTTTTTTCAAAAGCAGGCATCCTGCTGTGAACACTTCCTCTCCTCATTTCACTCTTGTTTCTCCAGAGGCGGAAGTAAAATGCTGATGAATAATCTGCTTTTAGCCTCTCTTCTTCAGATGTCGTTTTCACTGCTGATTCCGGTTGGCTAATATTAGTTTTCTCAACTATTATATGTCTAGAAAATGCTACATATACACTATGTGTGTTTGTAACTTTACTTAGTCAATCAGAGGGGTTTGTTGCTTTTAATGTTTGAAACAAGAGAAATTCTTTATTTTTGTGGTACTGGACCACTTAATTAAAAAGGCATGATATGTTGGGATCTGAAGCACACATTACACAATCATTTCTTTCTTTCTGTTTTTTTTATTATTATTTTTATTTTTTTTTACAATTTTCCATTCAACAAACTCATATATCCCCAGCCAAATAGAATATAAGTAGATTAGAACAAAGATAAGAACCTCAGATTTATGGTCGTAAATTTAATCGACAGTAAACATAACAATCTGCAAGAGCAATTTTAGGGGACACAAATAATACAGCCAATATTGTACGTGTATGTGTACACAGAGGAAAGGTTCATAGTTCACCAAGCAGTCATATTATAATCATTAAAGCGGTAGTATTATGCTCATTTTCAGGTTCAAAATCCTATTTAGGGGTCGTACCAGAAGAGCTTTACATAAAAAACCCCCACCATATTTCTTTCATACTGCACATTGCTGTAGCTCCTCTTTTCACCCTGTGTTGAATGCTTTGTTTTAGCTATACATCTTGTCTCTAAATGATCTTTGTTGGGAGTTGCACATGTGCAGTTCCTAGTTAAGAACCATTAGCCATTCAGAAGCAGAGAAGTGCGAGTCAGCGAGTAGCCCGTAAACAGCTTTGATTCAGCTGTAGGCTTCATGTTGCCGACCAGCTTGGCAACATGGACTGGAGCAAGAGGGGCTAAAAATTTCGGGTTTTATGGGTCTCGCACATGGGTGTGACAAAATGGCTTGGCAGGACCCCCTACAGAGTAGCCCCCGGCCAAAGTTTCCCCTATGCGTAAGAAATTTCTGTGGTACATGTAACATATCCAGACGTACAAAAAAGCCTCTTGGAGCGATGCCAAGCCCAACAGGAAGTCGGCCATTTATAATTTTATGGTAATTTTTGGACGATTTACACCCTGCGTATTGCCTCCTAGGGATGTAGTCCGACCGACTTCAGATTTTTGCTGTGCAGTCTAAACCCACTGACGATTAAAAGTTGTACAAACAGTAAGTTTTTGTGGAATGGCGTACCCGTGGTGTGGCGTCCAAATTTGATGATTCGCCATAAAACAGGAAGTTGTTGCTTCAGTCTACATTCTCACATCTGCACCAAATTTAGAATGTATCATAAGAGTTTCGCCCTGAACACAGCCACATGCCAACATTCACCTATAGTCATAGCGGCACCTACTGGCAACAGGAAGTGACCTTCAACAAAGCATCCCCACAGACATTTCACATTTCTGTGGCACATGTATCATGTCCAGACGTACCAAAAAAACTCTTGGAGCGATGCCCTAAACTGAACAGGAAGTCAGCCATTTTGAATTAAATGGTCATTTTTGGATGATTTACACATTCCATACTTGTGATGTGATGAAGCACTACTTGTAGGTTGGCTATATCTACTTCAGGAAGTGACGTTTAACACCTTCTAGCAGCATCCGAAGCGTGTAGCAATTTCACAGCTGCACTGGCTCCAGAATCTGCAAAGCGACCGCCTCACACCTTGACACACTACATGTGCGAGGGCCTGCCCAACGCTGCTTGCAGCTTTAACATTATTTAATTATAATTTTAGGGGCAGGAAAAAACCCTCAGATTGGGTAGGTCCTGACCCCTCCGACACACCGGCGATTTCCTCCTATGCTCAGATTTTATGACCAACTTTTGGTAAGCTTTTTGTTAAGCCACAAGTGCATCTTTTTTATCTTATTCTCATCATCATACTTTTTCACACAGTCCATATAGTCACTTTCCCCTCGCAGGTGTGAGCTACATAGCACACTTTATGAATATTCATGTCCTAAACATAAATTTGGTGATTTCAAAATGTTGATAGATAGATATTACATGCGTGTATGTGACCGTGTGTGTGTGTTTTTGTGTATGTGGGTGCTTGCAAGAGTGTCTTGGAGCCGGAGGCCGGCCAATCCAAAAATCCATGAATGTGTAAACAATGTGCCCTGCAATTCCCAATCAACACCTCCACACCACCCACGCCTCGTAATCAGAGAGAGTGGGAGAAAGAGAGAAAAGACAGAAAAGCCATCACTGGCATTTCTCCATAATCAAAGTTGACAGAGGGCAGAAATAACATGCTAAACAATGGTCCTCCGCATCCAGTACACATCAGGTCATTTCAGTTTTTTTTTTCCTGGAGGGAAACTAGGGTTTGCAATTCGCAGCATATTTTAAATGTCCAAACACACACAGCAAATAGACACCCATCCACTCACAAGATATGACTCGCTCATAAAGATTCGTGAAGAGCCGTGAAAAGCAGCTGATTTCCCCTGTAACACAACATAGCAGACGTGGGTAAACACGTTCTACAATAACAAATATTAAGACTGCGAAGGTTAGAAGAGGTGCGTTACAACAGATGGTTGAGATGCTGCCTTAAAAAAAAATAAAGTAGAAGAAACAAAAAAATGACAAACAATCACTTTGTCTGTTCATTGTTTTCAAAAACTGAATGTCAGCTTTCAGCAGGTCTTTATAGTCAAAACCTTTATCAGGTCATGTAAGCAGGGATGTCACAGCCAAAACTTGCTTTTAGAACAATTTAAAGTTTATTTATTTTTAACATAGCAAGTGTTCTACTTTGTTCGCTTCTTCTACTCAATAATTTTAGTAAGTGAGGAAAAAGAAAAAGCAAGACAAAGAAAGAAATAGAAAGAGCAGTCTTTTCAGTAATATTTGAAAATCAAGCTGATGAAGTTTTTCTCCCAGTACTTGTACCATATTTCATCTTCTTCCTTTTCTTACCTTCCTCAGCCTGTACCTTTCTCGCTTTCATCTCTCACTCTGCTGTATTTTATCTGCTATCCATGCTGTCGTCTCCCAGTCAATTCAATGCCTTTTCCTGTGAACAATGTCTTTTCTATACTTTCTTTCACTTAGTTTTTCAATTTTCCTCCCCCTAAGCCCTCCCTTCTTTCTCCATCTTTTTCCATCACCCTGTCTCTTTCACACTATCTCCTGTCAAGGACACAAGCTTCTGAAAGAGAAAAAAAATTATATGAATACTACTTCTCTTTCTGTCTTCTTCTGTCTTTCTACCCCCCCCCCCCCCCAAAGATATTCGAACGCTGATTTCCCCCATGCCTGTCACGGCTGGATGGCACTGGGCAACAGCAGGTAGACTCACAAAATATAAACGTCTGAATAAGAAATAAACAGCGAGCGTGCGCACACAGACACACGGTGTGGTTGACAATCTGTCTGACCATCTGTCTGCCTTGTGCATTGACATAGTCTGAACTTGAGGACACTGTGCACGTCTGTGTTTGTCTGTGCAGGTGTATAGTACTATTGTACCAGTATATCAACTGATTTAAACTGGAATGCTCATCATCAGCCAGGGAAGTGTTTCTGATTTGATGGGTTCATAATAGAGTTCCATTTTATATTTAGAAATATTTCACTAATTTTCCCCTGCAGGTATCAAAATTACAGTGATTGTAGAACAGATTCCAAAATATGTGAATATTATGAATATGTGTTAATATTACTATTTCTAAGATTATCATCTTGGGTTTCAAGGGAAAGAGTCCTGTGTTATCAGAGGCTGTATCACCATGACAACAGCAAAACTCAAGGGAAAAACCAGCAAGTACCAAATAAAGTATTGGCAAGAAAGTGGCATGACAATTTAGCGACACAGGCTATCAGGACTAAATATATTCTGCCAGCTTCTTAAGTCCAATGTTATAATGGTCCTTTACAAACCCATGAAAACTGATACAAGGAAAAGGTTTCTGGTTGAGATGTATTCCTTGTTTGAACCGAAACAACTGCACTGAGGCTAATCGTGTGAAAACATGAAAAGACTCTTACCTGGCAAAGTCGAGGTCAGCCTCCCTGGACATGGTGATGTTGGTGAGGTTTTGTTGGAGGACAAAGATGTTCCTGCACATCTTCTTGATGCCAGACTCGCTGATCCTCTTAAAGTACTGGGCCCCGTTGATGAGAATACAGGAGATCAGATGACCCAGACCTAGTGAGAGGGTAAGGGAAGAGAAGAAGGAGAAGATGACAAAGATCAGCACAGAGAAGAATCAAAGAATAAAAAAATAAGTAAAGAATAAAGCAATAATATTTTGTCAACATTTTAACCTTGGATTAGATACTTAAGCTCTGTGAATCCAAATGAAAAACATGAACTTTTGCTTTTAGAAAGGTAGGTAAACGGTCCTTCTTGGGCAGCTGCTTATACTTCACCCCAGGTCCTTGCTGACCTTCAAAGATGTACTGGAACTTGTGCTGCTGCAGGGCGGCCCCCATGGCCTCCTCTATGGCTGAGATATCCTTGTTCAGTTTCACCACCAGTGGGTCGTAGTCCATGCTCTCCACATTAGCCACAATGGCATAATTGCCTTGCTTAGTCAGGGGGATCAGGTAATGGAAACAATGCACCCTGAATCGAGACACGGGACGGAAGTGCAGGCAAGGGAAAGAAAAGAGAAAGTGGAAAATTAGATGCTGAAGACTGTTTATATGTTTTTGTTCTCTTTCCCTTTCAGGTCTTGTCATTAAACGTACGCCTGCTGATTTTGCTAAAATGCCCAATAGTGCCCCACAAACTCACAGTTCCCTATTGATGTGTTGAAATCAACTGTGACGTGTGATGAGTTTCAAAACACTACAGGGTACGAGAAGAAAGAGAAATGAAAGCAGTAAAGAGGTAAGTGTGTCTGAGATGTTTTATTCTCTGTCCATAGTTAGAAGGTCAACATTAGTGGGCGCTGAGTGTTCTCATATCTCCGGCCCTGCTAATATGTATACCTACTCTAACACCTATAATTTAAACAGAAATCATACTCATAAGTACTCATAAAATATCCACTTCCTCAACTACCATTACATCACTGCTGGATATAAAAAGGTATAAAAAGACTTAAACATCTAGTAAATTTAAAACCTGCCACCTATTAAAATAATCTTTCACTTCAGGTCTTCACTTGTATTAAAATGCAAAAGATAGGATTTCTGTAAGTTTCCTTCATACTATGGGGTCCCTCGTGTCCAAAAAACAATAGGAAATTGTTGGTGAATCAAAAGCATTTAATTACATTTGTCAGCGAAGCTCATCTTCGTATGTTTACACCTAGAATACTGTATTTTTGATGTTTCAGATTTAATTTTATCTAGATTTTATCTGAGATACTTTAATGAAGACGGTGGTGCAAACACAGATTTGTGCTCTTGGCCAATTGTGGGTTAAGAACCTTGCTCAAGGGTTTTTCCTATTCACTTTTCTCGGCCAGAATTTTCTTGGCTGGTATAATTAATCATTTTTAGAAGCAAAACAATCCTATCTCTGCTTTGTCCATGTTAACATTTTCCGCCCATGGTATAATAAATCTAATATTAGTTTCAGGACTGTAATGGTTAGAGGAGGTGAATTTTAACCTCTCCTTTAACAATGTGCTACTTCTCTCTGTCCTTTTAAACACCTACATCTTAGTCTGAGGTGATTAAGAAGCAGAGAAGGCTCATTTCTGTCTAGACTTAGGAAGTCAATACTCTCATAATGCCATAATCACAGTGGCCTCAGCAGAAAGGTATAAAATGATATGGGTGAATGTCTCATTCCCCTTAAGGCAAAGCCAACAACTACACCGCATTTCTAATGCCTCCGTCCCACTTCCATCTCTCTCTATTCAATCATTACTAGCACTTAGCTACTGTATCTCCCTTCTTTAACCACAACCATCACTTTAACCCCCACACTCATTTCTCGCCCATCTCTTCCCCACCTCCCGTCTTGCTCTCTTCCTCATGGCTTCATTTAGCTGGTACCACTATCAGGGGAAATTCGCTTGATGGGGAGAGTCAATGGAGTGTAGCATATAGCTAGACATCAGCCTCAGGGAGGGTTTTCTACTGAAATCATAAACAATATTGCATAAGCTACACAATAGTCTACAGGGAAAGAGTGGTACATGGAGGGATGGAAAGAAGGGGAGAGGGATGATGGAGGACTATTAGTGGTTGTGGGGGGAGAAAGTATATGGAGTGGTAAATTAACTTGGACACTGACATTCAAAGCACATACTCAAGAAATGGTATAAATTCCTAAACTTGTGCATTTAAGGTAGAAGTATGATATCACTGTTCATTTCTGTCCATATGATTTAACGACATGTTCACTGAGCTTCTGTGATATATAATCTTGATAAATGGGTGTAAATGATTTAAAGCCATACTGTAACAATCTGTGTTTCATTCAGCTAAGAAGTGACACAAATGACTAATATCAATGCACTGATTCAAGAGACATGCTTTAAGATTTAGATGTGGGCTTACATAGGAAACGGTGGGTGCAGTTGTTTTGTTGAACACTGCTACTGTGTGCTGACCTTAAAGCGTTCGGTTGGAAAGATATAATTTCCCTATCAAATAATGTGTGTAACTGTAATCCTAACCGTATAATCTTCCAACACTTATTTAGACTGTTGACTTTTAGGGAAACAAACCATCTCTCTGATATAATTATTTATTTTGACAGGATAATTAGAACTGCATTATAAAAAAAAAAATCTATTTATAGTTTATGACACTGATGCAAACAGTGTTTTAATAAATAAATGCAAAACTCCTGATCATTTATAGTCTTAACATTGACTTTGAATAATTCAAAATGGTTCTGCCGAGAATCTGAGACCATCTGTCACCTTAAGGAGTAACAGGAGCACGGTAAGATGAATGTAACAATACCATATAAAACCCCTGTGTGTGTTTTCTAGTCTGCAATTTCTGTGACTTTCTCTTTTCTGCATACCTGACCTCCAGGTGCAATGCCAGGAGACAGCGGTCTGCAATGTCCTGAAAGCCCCTGGACAGGTCACTCAGGGTCTGAAGAATGTGCTCCCTGTTTCGTTCGCTCTCACCGACCAACTGGCTGTCAGCTGAGCATGGAGACACATCTGGGAGGACAGAATAGATGGGGAGACACATAAAGACACCATTATGACACAGTATTACTGAGCAGAGGAATTGGTAGTGAGTAGACGGACCATCCTTTAACTAGGGGAACTAGGATGACATTTCAGTGTCTGGATCCTGCTGAAGAGTGATTGAGCAAGCTACTGAAAGCCCTACCAGCTACAGAGGTGTTGCTCTATAGTTGACTCTGACCCCCACAAATGTGTCATACCACCTTCTCATCATTACAGGTAATTACTGTGACCTGTCTGTGCCCACGCACACTGTACTGTACTCCAAGGTAAAATGCATGTATGTCATTTCATGAGACCTTCACCATGTTCTTGTACTTTCTTCACGCCACTTGTGCTGAGACAGCAGGAGCAAGTGTCACTGTGCTGCATGTGTATGTGTGTGTGAAAAGAGAGAGGAAGCACGAGAGCATGATGAGTGTATATAAATTCCGCCCGGTGTAGATCAATGGCCATAAATTAGCAAGGGGAGGAAAGGGAGAGAAATTGGCCCCGTCACTCATATGTAAGTCTATTTGGTCAATGAGGCGAGTGTGTGTGTGTGTGTGTGTGTGTGTGTGTGTGTGTGTGTGAAGAGTGACTGTTGAGCAGGCGAATGCAGAGGTCCACGATCGATGTGATGCAGTCAAAGCCAGCTCCCCAGTTACTCTTCCTGCCCTTCCGAAGGTCACACATGCATGAATGCAGACACACACGCGGCTAGGGACAGTGTGGCGGCAAGCCTAAACGAATGCCGAAATAATGCTTCTCTCTTTATGACTTTAATTTTTGACTAATGTTCCCCAAAAAGATAGGTAGGAGGTATTTCACTCCAAAGTTGCTGCTTTAATTATTTATTATTATTTAATTTATTTAACGCTTTACTATAGTAAGCCCAACCATATAGATTTGACCTGACCTAAACATATCTAAAAATAATTTATATTTTTGTACATTTTTTATTTATTTATATAAGTTAGCTTATAAATGCAATGCGATTTTGTAGCTAACTGAGGTTTTGAATGCATCAGAGCTTTCAAGCTGACTGCCAAACACTACATGGGCTGTTATAGTAGTAAACCAGGGGATCCACCGATTTTTAAAACATAAGAGTTAGAGATACTCCAAGACGAGGGCAGAGGCAGAACTGTGTTCAGAAAAAAACTTCCAGAACACCAAGACTGTCTGCTGCCATAAAACATGGATACATTTGCTGGATAAAGAGCAAAAAAGTTCTCTGTCAAAGCAAAGAGGCCAAGTCCATAACAATATGGGACTACAAGAAGACTTCATATTTCATATCTACTGAAGATCCTACACCAAATGTTTGGTTGTATGTCACTTAAAATGTCCTGGCTATAATGACAAACCTGAACTGGTTACTTTCCACATTAACTGAACAGTGCTGTGTATGAGCATTTAACATCATGTGATTAATTCCAACATCTAACTGATCTTACGAAGCCTCCCGGTTGGTCAGACTCGACACCTGAGACAAAGCTGGAGACAACATTACGAAAAAGACATTGATCTACGGACGATATAGAAAGAAATATTGAAATAACTGACATAAGTAAATACTGGGCATTTTACTTAAAAGAGCATTTGCCATGAGCAATGGTCTTAAAGCTTCTAAGGAACATAACTTGTTTACATGAGATTGAGAGCTTCAAGTGTTGCATATTTGTTGATTTTACAAGTAGTGAAGGCCTGTGACATCTGAGGTTTTTGAAGCTTAATTGATCCACTTGATTTATAAGCTGGTACACTTGGTATTTATTAGCTTTCCTGTCACCAAACTGTTCCTGATTTTTCAGTTTGTAAGTAAAACTGAAAGCTTGAAACTGCAACAAGTCTCTGTCCTTCCTGGATTAGAAGGCGTTTACCGAATAACAGTAATGCATAATCCTTCAGATAAATGATAACACAATAATAACTTAAGATCAGCACCTTATTGTACATGTATGTTTACGAAATCTAAATGTTATGAAACTCATTAACTCAAAGTAGTTCTTTGCTGCCTTACATAGTGAGTGCTTGGGTGCACACTTTGTATGTGCTGGTGAATGTTACTTTTAAATGAACCCCTGATAATAATGAGAGGCTATTGGCTTAGGCAAACAGCAGTGAGGTATGTGCCACAACCATCCAATCAACAAAGCAAACACACTCGAGGGTGTGAGGTATTATCAGTTTGACAGCTGCTCTTATGGCCTTGTGTGTCTGACATATAGAGATAAAGGCCGGATATTGTATTTCTTATTAAAGTGTGTATAAAATGTGATGTGTGGGGCTGTTTATGTAGAAGGGCTAAGTGTATGTACTGCATGTATAAACGTACTTGCTAATTAACTGTCTTCTTGAGTAAACCTCTTGATAATGTGTGTGGGAGGACAATGCAGTGCAGAGTCATTTGCAGCAGTTACAGGTAGTTTATATTCTAACAGGGTGCTTCACATCCACGTTCTGCATTGGAGAGCCTGACTCTGGCTGAAATCAACAATCAAACAAATATTCAGTCAGACTTCAGATAAATGTGCTGAAACGTCGACTGTTTGCCAAAAATGTCTGTGAAAACTTTGGTCAGGAAAGTTTTACTTCAGGTTTTTATAACAATTATTGAATAAAATAAGTTCATGGTTTTCCAGTATCAAAACACTTCTCAATCCACAAAGTTGTAAGTAAACCACAAATTATTAGCCTCCTCTTTTTAATCAGTTTCATTGTTACCACAGCTAGAACCACTTCCACTGTGAGGTCTGAGATAATTAGGGGGTAGGGTGGCTAACATTTTAGGCTTCTAATCAGTCTTTATTTTTGTTTATGTGACGATTTCACATGAACCCAGTGTGGGATCAAACAAAGACTGGCTTAACTCAACAGACTTTATGTGTTTGGTTTATTTTTTTAGAAAAAGTCAATCAACCGTCATCAGTGCTATTGTATAATTTCCATATGATACCTAAACTAGTGACTGCCTCTTTCACCATCAGAAAACAGAGAGCCCAGGATTAAATCTTTAGTTCGGCAATATCAATATTAATCCAGCTAAATGAGACACAGGAACAACAAACAAGATTGGTCTTAACAGAAAAAATCCACAGTGATTTCTCAAGGGAGTGGAGCATAATGACATTAATTGACTTCATTTGATTGTATTTAGCAGCTGTTGTTTACTTTCCTTGGTCATCTTCTCAGATCATTAATAAAAGGCAGCATTGAAACATTTTACTGCCACGCAAACTTAAAGACACAGTTACAAAAATATGACCTATACAGCTGAGCAACCTGAATGCTGCATTAAATGATCCGTGACATTATTGATGTCTATTGGTACCAAAGATATGGTAACATAAAGAAGTGTTTTGGTGCAGGCAGAAGTGCGCTGACAGATTATATGGCTATAAAACTGTCCCTGTGTGTTATCCATAAAGTCTTAGTTAAAGCACCTGACAAAAGGTGCATGTATATTTGTGCGGTATACACTATTTTGCCCTCAGTGTGTCTGATTTCTTCTCTTAGCTTGTGGTTGTGTGTTATGTGTGAGAGTGAGAGCATTTCACTTGCTCTGCCTGTGGGAGTGTTTTCCCTCCAAGTGTGTGTGTATGCGCACATGGGCGCGTGTGTGAAAGTGACTCGAAGGCTTCTGTTTCCTCTCATGTGCATTACACTCACTCACTTTGGCAGCAGAAAGGGGAAAAAAGGGCTCGCTGTGGCACACACTGCTGGAGGTCTCTCCAGGGGGTATCCGTGAAACACCCACACATACACACACCCAAAAATCACACACGCAAACGCACACAGAAACACAGATTCCTGCCGCACCCCAGCCTGCACTGCTTTGATGATGTGAGGGAGGCATCGCAGCATGGCGGGCACCATTAGAGTGAGGGACAGACGGGCAAAAGGAGACGACTCATTGGTCCTGACTGACAACTTTCATGCTCCCTTTTTTCTCTTTCTGCCGATTAAATGTGAGGATATGTATGTGTGTGTTGTGTATGTATTTATGCGCTCATGTGTAGACATGCCTGTATGTGTGTGTGTGTGTGTGCGATGTGCTTATCCAATTATTTTCGAATCCCATCTAAGAGAAACGTCTGTTGCTTGCCATCTGCAGAAGATGAGAGTAGTAGACATTAAGGGAGAAGATCAGTGATGGAATTCACATACTTACACACATACAGCAGACGTAGATGCATACACAAACACAGACAGTTCATATTAACACAAACCCAATCTTGCACTCTTTGACCTGTCTGCCATAAAGGGGATAAATTATACATAAAGAAGCAAGAAAACAATATGACTTGACATCTTCCGTGGCACTGAAAAATACAGCTGCTAAACATTTGATACGAATCATGATCTGTTTTGTTTAAACACGCCCTTCCCCTCAACAGAAAAGAGGAATGAAGAGAAAATGGAGAAAGATAAGCAAAGGACAGTATCCTGCAGGGGTGGAGTGATGAATGATTCATAAATGACTGACTGAGTAAGAGAGGAGGCGAGTTGTTAATTATTTTGCTGCCTCTGGTAGAGGATGAACATCTGCACATGGGGATCTGAACGTCTGTCCAGAGAAAGCAAAAGTGAGGGGGAAAGAGAGCGATAAAAATGGAGAATGAGATTTAAAGATTTTGATATCTGAAGCAAGCAAATTGCTCAATGGTGACTTATAATAAGAAAAAATCTAAATATGCTAGTGTTGTAATGTTGGACAGAAACTTGATATGAAACCGGAATGGATGAAACAAAAGATACCATTTTAAATACTGAAAAAACAATACCATCATCTCCCAATGCAACTAGTCCCCCAGGCCTCTGCAGTGAATAAGAATGTGTTTTAGTCAACTTCCCTTGCTAAATGGAGTCAAAAATATACAATCATTGCTAAAGGGAAAAGACCTACATTCACCATAGTCAAGGTTAGAAAAGTGTATTTCATAAGCCCACTGAAGAGTGAAGGAAGTTATTCCCACGACGAGAGC